CCATGTCAGAATCACATGTCAATAAGGGTCCAAGTCCCGACAAAAGTCGGTGAAGTTGTTGTCTATAAGATTTAAGACCATCTCCAACGGTGAATCAAACCTAACATCAAATTTAAAATTTGGTAAAAAAGTCACTTTTTTAAGCTCCAACGTTTTCACCAAATCGATATCAAATCCAGAATTCAGCAAAAATGGTACCAAACTGAGTGCAGGCGAAGCCTTTCACCAAATCACTGTTCCTAACCGTTGGGATGAGACGAACGGGTCGACCATCCGGTTGACCAACCCTTTGCACATTCTTATCTAGAAACCACCTACTCTGAGTTTATATATACAATCTGAAAGGTCAAATATTTATTTAGTCTGAACTACTCAAGCACACCTATTAACCATTGATGGAATACATAATTGGAGCATTATTTATTTATAGTCCAATATTACACTATATGAGGGTCTTCCATTAACTAAGTTATGGTCCACATGCACTTCTCATGATAATGCTCCAATTTCAAAATTACTAAATAATTTTCTAATATAGTAATTATGTATTTAATTTAATGAATAAAGAAACTAAAGGTCGGCCATGTCAGAATCACATGTCAATAAGGGTCCAAGTCCCGACAAAAGTCGGTGAAGTTGTTGTCTATAAGATTTAAGTAACAAAAAATTGCTCAACCCCATTGAATAATCAAGAAGGTGAAATATCCAAACAGAGCTCTGCAAAATATGACTAGTGAATTCATACACAATACAGTCTGAAACAACAAATAATCTCCTATCACACAAGCTAACTGCTAACACAGAAAAGAGAGAGAGAGAGAGAGCTTTCTTTGTCTTTTGTCATCTTTGGGTTTCCATTTTTTATGCATGGTCAAAATTCTACATCATTCTTGTTATGGACTCCTCCTAGCTCATTCAATTATTAACCATAATCATCAATATTGTTCATTCACTGCTGTGGTAAATACACAGCAGTGACTGTTGTGCTTCATTTTGTGATGCATTATGGGCTTATTTTTATGATCTGAACCGTCATTTTGTAGGATTTGTTAAGTACTTCAAGCCTACCAAAAATCATATTAATCGGATGTCAACAACTATATGATCGAATTGCATATTTTTATACTATTTTTTAAAAGAAAAACTTCTTGTTTGTTTTTTTGGTTATCAATCATATAGTTATTGGTATCCGATTAATATGATTTTTGGTAGGCTTGAAGTACTCAACAAACCTTACAAAATGAACGGTTCAGATCATAAAAATAATCCCATAATGCACTACAAAATGAAGCACAATAGTCACTGCTGTGTATTTACCACAGCAGTGACCCCAAATCCACAATACTTGCTAAAGTGATTTGATCATGGATTATTTTTTGTGATCGGCTAATTCATTTTGGATCATTAAATATAGAATGAGATGAATTAACCTCATCATTTCATTTATGAGTTCATATATCAAAAGTACCACATGTATGTTCTGCCTAAAACTCAAATGATCACAACTGTATATATGAATGAATGTTGAAAACTACTATATCCATATGATCTGAATTCAATTTGCAAAAACACAAGCTCACAATACTTGCTAAAGTGATTTGGTCATGGATTATTTTTTGTGATCGGCTAATTCACTTTGGATCATTAAATATAGAATGAGATGAATTAACCTCATCATTTCATTTATGAGTTCATATATCAAAAGTACCACATGTATGTTGTGCCTAAAACTCAAATGATCACAAGTAAGAACACATAAAGATTTACGTGGTTAGGCAATACGCTTACGTCCACGGACAGTGAATTTCACTATATGGAAAGAAATAAAAAGATTACAACAATGGAGAATGAGACAATACTCTCACTCTACTCACATTCTTTCAGTTGCTTACACTCTCTTCTGATTGCCACACCAAACCCTTCTCATTCACTAACCATTTATAGATGCAATGTGAGAGCCAAAGTTTTCAACAAGCCACCACCGACAACATTTATGGCAGCCACCAACGGGATCTGAAGATCAGCCACCCTACCATGGAGTAACTCAGCTGAATCTTTAATCCAAATCTTCATCTTCTTTATTTATCTTCAATTAGCAGCTATTGTTGACAAATCTTCAACAATGTATTCATACTCTCACTCCAAGACAAAGAATAATAATTTTTTAATCAGTTAATTACATAATTAATAAATGAAAAAATTGAAGGTCGGCCATGTTAGAGTGACAGAGCAACGAGGAGCATCCTATTTCAGTGTATGCATATAGAATGAATTAATAGAGTTATGAGGACCATTGCTTAATTAATCACTAGCACTGTTTATAGTTGTAAAGCATTTTCCTATAAACAAAGAAAGAACAATTTTCTCGGAAGTTACTCTCAAACAAAATGAGCTCACATATCGAAAGTACCACATGTATTCATACTCTCACTCCACGATTAAGAATAATAATTTTTTAATCAATTAATTACGTAATTAATAAATGAAAAAATTGAAGGTCGGCCATGTTAGAGTGACAGGGCAACGAGGAACATCCTATTTCATTGTACAATATAAATACAGAATGAATTGAGAGAGTCATGAGAACTATTGCTTAATTAATCACTAACACTATTTGCAGTTGTAAAGCATTTTCCTATAAACAAAGAAAGAATAATTTGATCAGCAGTTACTCTCAAACGCTACCTACCTTTCCATATCCATTACACATCCAATTCACACCACAATAGCCATATATATATATATATATATTCAAATGAATGACCTATTATTCATTATTCATTCTTTTCTTTAACCACATCAGCATGCATATGATGGCTTAGTTTTATCACACTTTGACCTCATCAACCAGATGTGCCAAACAAATTACATAACTACCAAAAATGTTTTTTTTTTTTCAAAATGACAGCTCCTTTAAAACATATTTCTCTGAAATGGGTTGTTTTCATCATATTTTTACCAAATGCATGCTATTTTTTCTTAGAGTTGTGTTTTTTTTTTTTCCCCCTAAAATTGAGCTCCTTAAAAACATGTCTCTGAACATAGTAATACCACACAATTAAAATTTTTATTTTAAATTTTACCCAAAAACATTGATGTGCGACTCAAATTTATTGTATGAACCCCATAAAATACCCATTATATCTCAACCACACAACAATTCTTGACCATTTCTAGGTAAAATTCGCCTGTAAAATTGAGGTTAGTATATACCCATTATATCATGAAATCATCGTTTACAAAATCAAGATTAGTATCTACCCAATCATATCATCAACCCGAAGGCACTCTAAGGCTATAATGAACAACTACTCTATTTAGAATACTCAATACCTTTTCTCAACAAAAAAAAAAAAAAGAAAAGAAAGAATACTCAATAACATAAATACTTAAATTTTTTTATTTAAAATTTATTTTTCTTTCTTTTTAAATTATTATTAGACTTTTAAATTTTTTTTTTTTTTTCCCGAATATAGTCAAGGGTCTAATTGAAATTGAAATATAAATTGAAGGATAAAATAGCATTTAAAATGAAATTTTGGTGACTCATCATAAAATTTCATCTAATTATAGACGATGACAACAAGGATAAAGTTGAAACAAAATCAAATAATTTAAGTAAAAATTTGATATAATTAAAAAGACAGAGGTTGAATTAATTTTTAAATAATAATATGGATGACAAAATAAAATTTCATCTATTTTTTTTAAGAATTGTGAATTGATAACACAACTTCAAATAACAATACCTTTTTAGGGATATAGAAATGTTTTTGAGTAAGTCTGAAAATCAAGCAAAAACTAAATTCATAAAAACAAGTCCATAGTTAACCATTATGGCTTATACAATTAAAACACCACTGAACACCAACATGATAAATAACATCTAATCAAATGAAGAGACAAGAAAAAAAAAAAGAATATTGATATATTAATTTTAAAAATAAAAACAACCAAAAAAGAAGAAAAGACATGCTCAAACGACATGCCTTTATAAAGCAGTACAACAAGAGTTACTCAAGCAAATCTTAGATAATATATGAGAAGTTATAATTTGCCAATTGTATAATTTCCAGTAACACAACGACGATGGAAGTTATGTAGGTTAAAAACACTCGCACGTTACTCCATTCAGAAAGAGAAGAAAACTGAGGTAAGAGTCGTAAGATATCTTGCAGAATGGAATCATCCTATCATGTTCTATAGTATTTGAGATGAGAGAAAGTGAAATTCTAATGCTTTTGTAATAAGCTCAGGCTCTTTCATGTATGAAATAATTTCAAGAAAAACTTAAATTGACAATCTCTATATTGCAGTTTGGATAAAATCAACAGTGTAGACAGAATGACCATACAATAGTCCGCTAAACTATCTTTGATTGCCTGATATAAAGATTCAAACCACATTACTTTCTGAAAGAGAAGAAGAAGGAGGGAAATAATAAGAAATGCACAAAACTGTGGTTCCTCTGTCTAAAGTGAACTACTTTGGTCTGCAGATGGAACTTCCATTCTCTTCCTGTCTCTCAAAATTGTGGAACAAGAGCAAGAAATTGGAGATTGGCTATAGGTAACGGATTTCCCTCCTAAAAATCTTGAACCAGAGTATAACATTAAGTTCAAAAAATTAATCAAATGTTCAATTTTATAAGATATAGAAATTGTGCCAACAAGCTCTATCATGTTTTGAAAGAAAGAACTTGAAAAACAAATAAATAAATAAAAAGCAGCAGATGATATGAAGGATACAATACAAGCACAGACGGATTGGTTTGCATATTTACCAATTTGAGTTCATGGATTTTAACCAAACGAATACTTGCAGAGTGAATCAGCAGGCTGATCTCCAAAAATGGCTCCCTAACCAAATGAATCATGGCTCAAATCATGTCAACGACATGTTTTGACATGTACGTGACTACCGAATGCAATTACATGCATTTGATTATAAAATATAAAAAATAAAAATAAAAACTACCTAAAGGAAGAGTGTACAAAGTCGATGAAATTGCTCTCTTTGATTTAAGTAAGAAAAGTTGCTCATCCCCTAATGAATAATCAAGAGGGTAAAATATCTCAAACAGATTTCTGCAAATATGACGAGTCGATTCATACAAAACAATCTAAAACAGGAAATAATCTCCGATAACCAAATCTAATTGTCGGGGAAGAAATGAGAAAAACGATAGAAAAATCAACGCTTTCCACCGCCACCTCCAAGTTTAGGACCTTTTGGTGCAGCACCCTTGGGCACGTTACCCTTGGTTGTCTTCTGTGCCTTGGCCATAACCTCTGCTTTCTTTGCCTTCTTGTCATCCTTGGTTTTCTTGATCCTCTCCTTGATTTCACTGGGGATAACAATTTTAATCAAGGCATAGTATAAGTTGAGTAACTACAATTCAATAGCAAGCAAGTTAATGAATTGACAGCAAGAGAACATTCACCACTAAGAAAATTTTATCTATCGAAAGAAGGGGAAGGAAAAAAAAAAAAAGCATACCGCAGGGCAGCCTCACGAGCAGCATCTCGGACCTCGGGCTTCTCGGTTCTTCTCTTCTGTATAACTTCCAAGGTGGCACCAACTATAGACCTTGAGTATGGTTTCTTGGTGGCTCGTCGCCTCTTCTTCACAGCCTCAGCAGAAACATCCTATAAGCAAGCGCAAAAATGGTTGCAAGTTTTCAACTTGGTGACTAAATTTAACTACAACAGGGAAGTTGATTTGTACTATAAATATAAGGAAAAGAATATCGGTGTAAATCCAGAGGACAGTGAAAAGATTAATCACCTTCTTGTGTTGCTTCCTGTACATTGCTGTCCAGCAAAGCTTTGATGGCTTCAAGCGATTGTGGAAGTAGTGCTTGCACTTTGAGTTGACAAAAAGGAAAACCTTTGGCAAAACCAGATAACTTCTTTAGTCTAAATTAAACCTAATGATAATTTAACAAATAAAAATAAAAAATATTTTTAAAAAACTGTGAATAAGATGCATAAAGTGACAATACTGACTCCCTCTAACAAAACCACACCCAAAAAAAAAAAGTACAATAGAACCCGAAAAAAAAAGAGTATAAAAATGATAAGTTATATCATATATAACTTTGTCAAATAAAACACAATGAACCTTATAAGATACGAGTAAAAACAGAGAGTGGTAACACAACACACCTGCGAGTCCGAGCGAATAAATCTGATACCCCTGCCAGGGTATATCTTGGCACCACTGAAGCGGCAAAGCTCAGTCCTGATAGCCCAAGATCAATTAGTCAATTATATTTCTTGCAACTGAAAGTATTTAATGCCGATTTAAAATGAAACAGTAAGCAGTCACCAATGGAAAAGCAAAAGACAGTGAGGCACTATTTCCACTTCGTAAGCCCAGAAAAGTTCACGCTAAAATGGAGTATGAAACAGCAGCACAACAACATTGCACCTTACTCATTCCTTAAAAGCTATCAAGCATTTCAAGACATTAAAGGGGATGCATATACTGATGAACAACGTAAAGAGAGAGATTTACATTCATGATTATGTTCCCAACTTCTCAATAGTTTAATTGTAGACATATGACTGCAACATGCTCGAATTAGCTATCATTTTTCAGAATAATATCAATGTCTAAGGAGTTCTTATACTATATTAAGGTCATTTCCAGCTTTTACTCAAATCTGAGTAAAAAAAAAAAAAAAAAAAAAAAACCCAAATCTGAGTGAGTAGAAGTTTTTGTGAAGCTCTCCAATGGACAACCGAAATTAAGTTTGTAATCTGGGAGGACAAAACGAAAAATAAATGAGTTGCCATGTCATCGTTTTTAGCCTTTGGGGATTTGGAAATGAGTTTCCCTCAATTTGGCTAAGAAAGCGTAAAACTCAATTTGATATGGCTTTGGGTCAAGAAGTAGAGAGGTGTTTTGGGTAGTTTTTACTAAAATTTCAATTTGAGCAACGGTTCGAGTTAGGGTTACCAATCTGGGGTTGGCTAGAACTGAAAATCTTGCGAGGAAATAGAAGTTTAAACAAAGATACAAAAATTTAGTTCTAAATGAACACAAAATTAGTCATAGCACCATAAAGCTTGATCAACTCATTAGTTGAGAAGTAACAATTAATTACCATTAAACCAAACACTCTCCCACCTCCCTCCAAACACTCCTCCAATTTTTCCCCAAAAATTCCCAAAAGACTAGATGTCCTCTGCAAACAGGGTACAGCTGTTGCTAAACATGTTCTATCAAAAACAAAGAAAAATAAAAAGTGATGCAATGGAAAATGAACTGATCTGCTCATATGCTCTCCATGATAGAGAGAGAGAGAGAGAGAGAGAGAGATTTATGGTTAGTAAAACAGCTCCATCTCTAAAAGTTCCACATCAACCAGATATATTCAAATCACAAACACAATAGCCATTGCAATCCTATAGATGAAAAGTCCAGCACTAAAAACATGTTTTCATTGCATATTCACACACATTACAGATCTACTAAAACAATACATATATATATATATAGAAACCATGATCTACATACATATATATGACAGAATATACTATCAAAACATGAGAAATATACGTACTTGAGAACCATTGTAGCTGCTGATGGTGGTGCTGGTGATCTCGCCGCTCTCTCTCTCTCTCTCTCTACCCTGAAACCCTAACTTTGATAAAAACCCTAGCGGACCCAGAGGACGAATTTAACAGTTCGGACTCGTGTGAGCATCTGCGTGGACAAACGGCGTCGTTTCTGGGCTTTTCGGCCAGAAGAGTAAATGAGGTTGGGCTCAACTAAAAACCCCATTTCTAAGGCCCAAGTAGCAGCAGCAATCAATAGGCGATGCAATATAAACTTTTTTTTAAAAAAAAAAATTTATCTAATCACTAAACGGACAAAAATCTTGGGTTTCACATGTGTTTTATATAAATTTCACTACTTTTATGCCTAGTGGTAAGAAATATACTGAGAAATATGTTTATGTATCTGTGAGTTTAATAGGGTCAATATAAAAATTTAAATATAATGTTTCTGCTTAAATGAAAATTGATTTTCTATTTTAAAATTATGTTTATGTCCATATGCAATTTTTTTTTCCATTTCTTCAAATCGTATCCTTATAATCCCTTCCTTTGTCTTTATAATGGTGGGCCAAAAGTGGTGAAGAGAAGAAGGTTGGCGGAAAGAAGGTTGTGCCGACATGGGTGGTCCGAAAGTGGTCGAGAAGGAGGTTGCGCTGACATGGGTCGTGTGGGAAGGGATTGGAGTCCTGTCAAAGTCTTAAGAAAACTCTGCTGTAACGACAATAACAAATTGAAAAACAATTGAATTGTAACTTATTGAAGTAGTTATTTGAACAAATAGAAAGAGTCATTCCAACAGGTGCAACGGAAAACAAGTCAGGCAACAACGATAGCAGACAATTGTGTAGAATTTAAAAACCGACTCTGTAATTTTGCTTCCCTCTTCAAGGGCATTGCTGCAACACCAACCAAAAACAAGTGTAGATTAAGTTTTTTTAAAGTGTTTTTTACTTGTTATGTGGTAAAAAAGTTCCCTCATTTCAAACTAAAAAGCTTGATTCATTAATATCCCAATTGTTCATGTAGCCCCCTTATAATTCAAGTACAAAACAAACAGTTTAACCACATAATACTTTCTGGTTCCTCTAAACAAAAGCTCAACATAGAAGCCACACATGTCATCCTATAAACGAAACTGAACTTTAAAATGCCTCACTCATTACTAGTTTAAAATCTAGCTGCTGTCTACATTATGCAGCTTTAGCAGTTTCCCGGACTAGTGCAAGCTTAGCCAGCAACCCACAAAGCTGAAGATATGAACCAACTCCATCACAGATTCTCATATGTGCAAATCCAGTTTCCTGCAGATTCATTGGAAAACAAATCAAAGCTGTGAGAGAAAAACAGGAGGAAAAAATACAAATAATATGTCTTATAATTAGGTCGCCTGACAACATATACATGCCTTCATGAACTCCAATTTCAGATACTCAGCCATATCAAAGTTCTTGATAATTCGAAAAAGGGTTGTGATTATGTCAGTGGGAGAGTAGCCCAAATCATAGAGCTGCTTTAAAGCAGCACAAGCATCGTCAAATTTCCCTTCTAGTACATTTCGTACCATATTCTTCACATGCAATGGATGAGGCTGGTCACAAACCTGAAAACCAACCAAAGACACTAAGAATGAGCTCCAAAGTTGGCTGTGACAAGTACCAAAAAGTAGCGGGCATTTCGGAGCAGTAACCTTGAAAACATTTTCTTGATTGACAAACCGGAATCCACTGTATGTAGCTTGCAAGTTATTCAATGCCTGCCTCATATCACCATCAGCAGTGAAAATGATTGCTTCAAGGCCTTCTGGGACATAAGGAACCTTCAATGGTTATAAAAAAGGCATCAATTATTCCTTTCATCACACTTGAAATTAATATTGGGCAACAGATGGTACCCAAATTTCCAGCCATTAGGAAATAAACAAATTTGGCAATTTACAAGTGAATTGAAATTGTGCCATGACAAAACACAATTATCATATTTAGCTTCAGAAACGAAAGCGGAGCACTGGCCTAGATATAAGCAGCTTCCCCGAAGTTACAAACAATAGAAGCACACATTGGCCCTGTTTGGTGGAGCTTTTTTAAAGCTAAAAGCTGATAATCAAAAAGCAGAAGCCACCCATTCCCTAGCTTTAAAATAATCAGCTTATTTATACTATTTTTGCCTAATAAGCTATAAGTAAAAGTTGCACCAAACCGTCCAGCACAAACTCTTAAATTAAAATAAGCTATAATCACCTCCTACAAGCTGTAGCAAACAGTCTCATTAGAAGGCATGTTCTGGATGAGCCAACACACAAATTAACTGAAACTTTTTTTTTTTTTTTGAACAAACTAACTGAAACTTGGAGAGGAAGAAATAAAAAATAAGATAGGCCAAGAAAAGGCCAAGCAGACCACTAGAAAAAATTGTTCATCCCATCCATAGAAATAGTGCATATTATGAACTAACCTCCTTCAAAATAGATGAGAGATAATTTGCAACTATGCCCATAGATCAATTGGCAGAGAAAGCCCAATGTCCAACACACAATAAAAGCAGGACCTAACAAGGACAGATATAGACATAGGACATGGACATGCGGCTAAGGTATTTATCTAAAAATGAGGACACAAACACATTGGGGACATGCTGAATAATATATGTTAGAATTTACCATCACCTACCACTAATTTACCATCACCTACCACCACCTACACCTCACCTACTCCACTAAACCTAACCCACTACACCACTACCACCTCACCTACTCCACTAAACCTAACCCACTACACCACTACCACCTCACCTACTCCACTAAACCTAACCCACTACACCACTACCACCTCACCTACTCCACTAAACCTAACCCACTACACCACTACCACCTCACCTACTCCACTAAACCTAACCCACTACACCACTACCACCTCACCTACTCCACTAAACCTAACCCACTACACCACTACCACCTCACCTACTCCACTAAACCTAACCCACTACACCACTACCACCTCGAATCATTGTAATAGATATTAACATTATATCAATCAATAATACAATTCTCTATTTCTCTTTATACATTAAATTTCTACATGGTATCAGAGTAAGGTTAAAGATCTTGGTGTTCTTCGCCTTCCGGCGGGCGGCAACCTTGCCTTGACCGCCCGCCGGAGCTCAACCAATTCAAACCTCCTTCTCCCTCTCGGCACATCACTTTCTCTCTCTACAAATTTCTCCGTCCGTTTATCTCTCTACCCCTTTGTCTCTCTAAGTTTTAGGGTTTTGAGTGTGAGAGAGATGGGGCAACAGCCTTTGATCTACAGCTTCGTGGCTAGAGGAACAGTGGTTCTCGCCGAATTCACCGAATTCACTGGAAATTTCACGAGCATCGCTTCTCAGTTAATAGAAGCAACTGGACTCTTTTCATGCCAACACTCCCTCTGAAGAGATGCCGAGGACACTGGACTAGAGAATAAGTAGGATTGAGACCAAGGTTTTAAAAAGCGGCCGCAACCGTTACGTAACGGTTGTAGTAGTTACCGGCACCCGTTACGGCCGCTTTTGCAGTGTGATTGTGTTAAAATCCACCCACTACACCACTACCACCTCACCTACTCCACTAAACCTAACCCACTACACCACTACCACCTCCACTTCACCTACTTCACCTACCACCTACTCTTCTATATATAGGAATCATTGTAACATATCAAGAAATCAATCAATAATACAATCAATTTATTCTCTCTCTCTTTTCCTATACATTAATTCTAATATTTGTTTCTCTCTCTCTTTTCCTATATATTAATTTTAACAATATATATATTATAAGCCCGTAAAATATAATTATAAACCCATTTTAATTGTAATGCCTTTTGATTCCCACTAACTTTTTGCATTTTTCCTTTTCCTTTTCCTTTTAGTAATAATTGAATATAGTTCCATGTGGCTGAAGTTGTCTTCGGTATACATTATAGAAGGTGGTGAGTAGACTTGAAAACTCACTCAAAACTCAAAAGAAATAAGTGGTCCAAGAGTTGAGGGACAACCTGATATTGTCAACTCATTATTGCCCTGTTACTCGTTGATCAATCCAGTTCTATGGTTCAAAGAGATTGTGAGGGGGTTTAAGCACCGTTATTTAGGGATATTTTTCCAGATTGTTAGAAATTCACAGAAATGTAGGAGCATGCACCGATGGGAAGAGCTGCAGAGGTCAGTTCCTACCATCCTCCTACTTCGTTGGTCGCTTACTCTCTCTATATGTGTACTTCACAAGCTAATGTCATTTTAGAAACCTCAGGGGAGGTCAATGCAATTTACCCTTATTTTTATGATACAATATGTGAGAGACTTCACAGTCACTAGTTCTCCTATAACCCTATTCCACCCAAACTTTGTGTCCCAACTTATTTGTTGATTGGTTTGTTTATCCTCAGTCTGAATGTTATATGCTATTTGAAAATAATTTTATTGCTTCTATCTATTTCACATATATCTTTGAGCCTACCTAAGATCGCAACCCATCAAAAAGGTATACCAAGACAAAGGCACTAACCAGAAGATAATTATCAAAAGACAAGTATAAACAGTGAACCTAAATTTGGGCAGATTTCTACAGCTTAGGTCATGGAAGTAACAAAAATGATGCACATGGTGATTTTTAGGCTTTTAGGAAATGACTAAAATATTTTATCCAAAAAACAAAAGAAACTCAAGCAATGCCTCATTTAGGAAACGTGGCCTTTAACAGATAAGGGTTCTCAATTACAATAACCCCCAACACACACACACACACACACACACGCACACAAAAAAAAAAAAGAAGGTATTGATCCAAGGACAAGGAGAATGCATGACTTTCAATCATAACTAAGAAATGAAGAGATGGATTAATCTTTATCCTTTCATGGTTCCAGAGCAGAAAATTTCTCCTTTCAAACAGAAATCACTCGTCAAAATTTAGTAAGCTCTTACTTAATGATTTATTTTTCTTTGGTCAGTTTATTGGTTAGGGTGTTTGCTGTGCCCACATGATAAGAACACGCGAAAGGAAATAAATCATATTACAAATAAACAATGAGATGACAAAGAGGATGTGTCAAATAAGGGAATTATTTTTACCTTTTCTGCTTCCACCACCACCATGAGACGACTAAGAATTTCTTGATCAGATAATCTTGCAAATCGGACAAGGGCACATCTACTCTGGATAGGCTCAATAATTTTAGAGGAAATATTGCAAGCAAGAGCAAAACGGGTGGAGTTAGAATATATTTCCATCGTCCGCCTCAAGGCTTGTTGTGCTCCAGAAGTCATGCTAATTTGTATCCAATAGCATTGTTAACAGACACCCACAAATATAAGTGTATAAATAAATTAAGCAAACGTATAAATTCCACATGAACAACATGCTAACAAATAATTAAAAATATTGATTTCATATTGTTAGATGGAAAACATGGTAAGAAAAGGTCTTTAACTGTAATCCTCGCCAACAAGCTAAAGTAAGAAAAGGTCCCACATCAAGAAAAGTAATATCACTACTCACCTGTCAGCTTCATCCAATATGATTACTTTGTGTCTCCCAGGGGGTAGTGTAACTTTCTTTTGGGCAAACATCTTAATTTTGTTTCTGACAACATCAATTCCCCTAGAAGAAGAAAAGCAAAGTGATAACTATATATTTGCAAATCAACCAAAGAAGCTAGAAGGAAAATCAAACACCAAAGCGAGTTCATCAATTATGTATATACCTGTCATCTGATGCATTTAGCTCTAACACAGCCTCCTTACAATTTGGTCCCAACAGCTCATGTGCAAGAGCTAATATACTAGTGGTTTTACCAGTTCCAGGAGGACCCTGAAATTATTTTGAGAAGTTAACTCATGGTATGAAAGTCAAGTGTGATTTAAAAAAATTTGTTAGGTGTTAAAAAAAATTTAATTAATGCTGACTTGTCTTTTCCTACTGTTTTAACCCTCATGTCCTCCTGGTTGCAACCAGGACATGAAAAGTACTGATAAAATAAATCAATACGTTTTTTAGTACTTCCTAGTTTAAAAACTCAGCCATATAATAGAGTAAAACTTCATAAAGCATGCAATTTTGTTTCTAGAAGCCGTATATGATGGGAAGAAAAAAGGTCTAAAACTCACCTCTCTCTATGGAAAACAAAAGGCTTAGAATGAAATCCAATTGAACGTTACCAATGAAAGTAAAGTCAATTTTGTTGGGTCTTCCCCAAGACAAGTGTGACCTTAACTATGTTACCTAGCTACCTAGAACCACTTTATCGTACACAAAACAAATTTAATTGATCAATGGGCCATATTTGCAAAATTTCCTTCACTTTTCAGATAGATAAAGGCATATATCTGCAACAAATTATTATTTTCTCTTTAGATAAGTATATTCATTGAGATAGTACCAAAATGGGGAGCACTTATTGCACACTACATGTATTATAATAAACACATAGCACAATATGAAGTCTATACAAAACCAAGTAAATTTATGATACAAGCCTTGAGGAGGAGCCTGGCTCAGCTTTAGCTTCAGTCAACAGTGCAGGAAATAGCAAGTAAACAGGGCAAGGATGAGTTCTATGAAAACGGTGTAGTAAGCAACCGAAATATTATTACAAAGATGTGAGAAATGATGCCGTTGCATTTAAGCAAGAAGCCTTCATCGTTGCATTTCACTAATTACATTGTAGACTTGCAACTTGGTTGTTTTTTAAAGATTCTGTTACTTTGTTAACCTGTAGCTCTTAACAAATTGTATTAATTTACAGTTGTCAGTAACTGAATTAAATTGTGTGGCTGAGATTAGCTCCTTAATGGAGGTTAGCTGGGGAGTTACTGGAGGCTTGTATAAATAAGAAGAAAGGAGAAGGTTTGACATCAGATTGTGTTTTCTACTTTTAGAAGCTATGTTACCTAGAACGTAGATCATTCCAGTACGTGGAACAATAACAAGAATGTTGTACGTCACAAGTTCATGTTCTAAATCGGGGTATGATAGGGGTAGACCTTTATAGTTTACACTAAGAATTTAATGTACTTCTAGTCTAGAGTAATTTTTTTTAACAATTAAACATTCAATCAAATGTAGATTATTTTCAAAATAATCATATAGCAACATATTTCTATGAGCATTATGACCCATTTTTGACATTTTGTCATGTCAAAACTTTACTCACCTTAGATTTTAGTTCGTTATATTTGATAAAAAAAATATATTGGAAAAGACTTTTAATTACTTTTTTGTTCAATTTATTTATCTAAAAAAAAAATGGACTTTTAGGATTGTTTTGGATCACTAAATTTACCTTTTTGGATCACCAAATTTACCATGTTTTTGAAGGAAAATGTATCATGTTTCGGAACATGCACTCCAAAACGTAATTCGCTAGGGTATCAACATTTTCTAGTAACACTGGTCAGAAGTAATAAAAGTTTAGTTTTTCTCACCAACTGATCCTAGGGAATGCTTTGTTTTCTCATCAAATCTCACCGTTTTTTTGCAATAATTGAAAGCTTCATTATAATAGAATTCTCTTTCTCACCATTTCTTACCTAATTTTTAAACCAAAAATGACAAATAATTCTCTTTTCTCTCATCGTTTCTTATTATTTCTCGTCAAATCACAAACAGACTGTAAATTTCACATAAATCATAGTTCATTCACGTAAAGTCATAAACACAATCTTGGTCCCATAATTCCCTTTCTAAACAATCAAATATTTGAAACATAAAATACCCAGAAACTCCAACTACCAAAAGACACAAACGAACTCTTTAAATTAGGGCTTTGAAGAAAACCCTCTTTTTTTTTCTTTTTTTTTTAGATAAATAAACAACCTTTATTGAAAAAGCATCAAGGAGATGCAACGAATACAAAAACCCAATATAAAAACAGTCACACTGCACGCAGATAGTTAAGGACAGTGAGTTTCAGATAATGTAGAACCAAAAAAGAGTGAGGTTTTTCTTACGGCTAAGATGAGGTTGGGCATGTTGCCGTCGCGAGCGATGACTTGAAGCCGAGAGACGGCGTCTTCGTTGCCAACAATGTCGGACACTTTGGAGGGTCTGTACTTCTCTACCCATGGAATTTCGTACGCATGTCCCGATGATGATGAAGAGGAAGACGCCATTTTTGGAGCAGACGCTTGTGAGAGTAGTTCGATTTGGATGGCTTACTCTGAAGAAAACCTTCCCTAAACCCTTTTCCCCAATTTTGGAGGGAATTCATCAATTGGGATGACAGTGGATGTACACATATACGAGTCCAGATCCCCTCCGTAAGCCCCTCCTTCATTCCCTACTTGCAGGGGCCTTTGGGTCCACTTTGAGGCCCGAACCGTTCATATTTTTAGATTTATTCAGTATATTATACCTGTAAAAAATCAAGTTGATCGGATGTCAGAAAGTATGCGTTCAGAAAATTGGGACTACAAACTATTTTTTAATAAACAGTTTTCCGAACACATACTTTATGATATTCGATCAACTTGATTTTTTACAGGTATGATATACTGAATAAATCTAAAAATATGAACGGTTCGGATTATCAAAACTGTGCCTCAAAGTGGACCCGAAAGCTCCTGCAAGGAGAGAATGAAGGAGGGGCTCAAGGGGAGGATCCCAATTCCACATATACGGTCCCTAACCTTTGTTCTATTTTCAAGAAAAAGATACCCTTTTGTGAATTGCACTCCCTCACATTTGATATGCAAGATACAATTCACTCTATTTGAGGTATACGTGGATCGGTTGTAGCCGAAAAACTTTCAATCGCCGTTAATCCGTCGGATTGGTGGATTAAAAAAAATTAATTTACATCTATTGGTCGAATTTATAGAATGAATTAATCGGTGGATGCGAATTGATTTGGAAGTTCAAATTTTGACAAATTTTAAATATAATATAACATCTTGTTAATATTTTTTTTTTAATAACAATTCAATTCAATGTAACTAAAAGATTATCAAGTAAATTATCAAATATTAGTAATAAATACATATAAAAAATCATATATTATCAAAATTATTTCATTATATTTTTTTTATTAAAAAAACTATTTAATTTGATTTTTTAAAAAAATTCAAAATTAAGCATTATATTTTCCACCTAAATATATCAAATATCAACACTCGTCATTTAATAAAATGATTTTCAAATTGAAAACAAAATGAAAACACAATAGAACATCTAATTATTTTTCAATTGAAAACACAAACAAAATATCTAAACAATTTGAAAACACAAATATTTACAAATTACCAGGGGTGCTCGCAGTTTGACAGTTCAATTGTAGCAAAATGAATCTTAAATCCGCCATCTGCCCAAAACTAAACAGATTGGAAAAAATCAATCCATAACCGTCGCTCGTCATCACGCATATGTCCAAAATATAACGGATCGGCTCGATTCGGCCGGCTTTGACGGATCAGAATATCCGCTGCTCACTCTTACCCTATTTGGTTTCTATTTTTAGAATTCACATTTTATAATTTTTATTTTTTTTTTGTATTTTTTTATTTTCACTATTTTTAAAAATATTTTAAGCAATTCTTAAATTTTTAGAGATACCTGTTTTTAAAATATATATATATATATATACGAAAAATGTAAGGTATTTATTAATTTTTAAAAACATTATGCAAGTAAGAAATTACGAAAATTCAATACATTTTCATATTTTTTTGTATTTATTAATTTTTTAAAATATTTTTTCACAAATATTTTATTATTTAGATATAGGTATTTATCATTTAATTTCATTTATAAAATTTATATAAATTTGTGAAATTGATTCTGAAATTTGATGTGTGATTTGCTTGTGTGATTCTAAAATTGATTTTTAAATTGAAATTTGTGTGATTTTGAAATTTATTCTAAAATTTGTGTAATTCTTAACTTCTCAAATTTATTATGAAATTTGTGAAATTTATTCTGAAATCGTGAAATTTATTTATTATGAAATTGTGAAATTTATTCTGAAATTTGTGAATTTGGTAACTCCTTTGAAATTTGGATTTGATTTTGAAATTTGGGTTTGATTCTAAAATTTGAAAGGTTTTTTATTGATTGAATTATGTTTTTTCAACTGAATTTGGAGCAAAAAAATTGTTGATATTTGTTGATGTGACGTGCGTGGCCGTTGCTATTCAACCTATCAAATTTGAGAACAAAAATGCCATCTATTATTTTTGACAGGTAGAATAGTAGGCCATTGGAGATCCTTTTTGGTTAGTCTTGCCAAATTATAGCTTTTGAAGGTTGTTTAACAGCTCTATTGGAGATGCTCTAGATAAAGTATATCTAAAAAAGTGAAGGGGAAAAAAAATTGCTTATTTATTTTTTTTAAATATTCACTAAAACAAAAAAACACAAAAAATAAAATACTCAATTTTTATAAATTGAATTTAGAAAATTGAAACCAAACACATTGATTGTTAAAAGTGTTCAATCATAGCCGATCTTCTCAGTAACTGCCGATTAGTTTAATTCGCAATTTGAAATTTATATATATATATATATATATATCTTTTAAATTGTCCTGTTCTACTATAGTTAGTACATATATTTTGTTATTTTTAAAGAAAGTAAAATTCAATATTAATAAATATTTAATATGTAAATTTTGTTACAAATTAGTATTATATATAAGAAAAATATTATACAAGTTAGTATAATATATTATTTCACTTTCTACCCTTGAATTATTATCAAAATATTTATGTAATTCTTGAACTATCTGCTAAGTCTATTATTACAATAAACTAAATAAGTGGAATTTTTTTTTTATTTATTTAGGGTTGGTTTGAGGTGTCCTAAAAAAGTATATTTTTTGTCTTTTTACGAAAAAATGTGCAGAAAAGTAGAGAGGTGATATGATAAAAAAAAGATAAAAAGATGGATTATATGGTCTATGCCAAACCAGCCCTTAGAAAGGTATAAGTGCACTTATTTAGGTCACATTACATTTTTATTTTTTATGTATATTTTTTCATAAAAAATATAAAAGTATACTTATTTAGATCATTTCAAACAATCCCTATAAATTTATTTTAGTTGTTGAACTATCAATTGAATTTATTTAGTTCATAAATCATTTAATTCAAGCCTATATAGCCCCTAAAATAATTTTAAAATGTCCAACTATTTTGTACACATGTCGGTTGTCTGTTAAAATGTCCAGTCATGTGTTCAAATATCTTATTATCTATACACGTCCCATCTATCTATCACTTATCTATTTAATATCACATATCTGTCAATCTCACTATTACCAACTATCACCGCCAGCCACTAGGGGTGTTTGGTAGGGATTATACAAGCAATTTTTAGTTTATTTTAGTTTTTAAATTTGTAGCAAACTATTTGATACAACTTTTGTTTATAGTTTATTAGACAAAAATAACTTAAATAAGTTAGAAAAAAAATATTTGAGTTTTCAAAAGATGTGGAAGGGGTGTTTTTTAGTTTATACTTTCTAATTATTAATTTTGAGTTTAAAATAATTCCCATCCAACACCCCACTGTTGATTACTGTTGGTTTTTTTGATGATAAGAACTTTTCAACGTGTATTCTTATTAAGAAACGTTATATTGCACACCATTTAAAAGGTGTGCACCACATACATCTTATACCTCAAAAGAAAAATCATATAATTTCAATTTTGTGAGTCATAAATTTCTAAAAAATGTCATGACTAACATAACGAAAAAATAAAATTGATCACAACTAAATAAAAAGAATGGCATATTTAGAAAAAAAAAATGACATAACTACAAGTGAAATATGATACATAATTTTTAAAGAGATGTATATTAAGTTTTTTTTTATTATAAAAAATAAAAAATAAAAAAAACTTTGAACTAAGGGGTTGTTTGGGATAAACTTAATAAGTGCACTTTTTGACTTTTTATGAAATATAGATTGGGTATGTGTTGGGTTTGAAATGATGTGGTAGAAAGGTGATCTGACTTAAATAAGATAATGTGACTTAAATAATATAGTGACTTTTGATTTTTTTAATTTTTTTAGATTATGCTAGACCAAGCCTTAAGATTATCAACCGTGCTACGGAGCTCGAATTTGGAGCCCCCGAATCCCCCGAATTCAATAACGCAGGAAAAGAGGGCAAGAAGAAGAAGATGAAGAAGAACAAAGAAAGAAGAAGAAAGGAAATGAGCAGACAGAGAAAAAGAGAGATCAACACAGCTTCATCATCAACCCAACACATCATCATCAACACAGCTTCATCTTCAACACAACAACAGCTTCATCTTAAACACAGCAACAACAACATGTTCATCGTTTTCAACACAACAACATGTTCATCAAATGTTCATCAACACAGCTTCATCTTCAACCAAAAATCAAACCCACCCCGTTCATCATCAACAACAACATGTTCATCAACATCATCGACCCTTCATTTCAGATCCAAAAAAAAAAAAACTGGCTGGGCTGCGACGGCAAAGATCGGCGAACTTGGCGGAGGCGACGGTCGATTGCTGACCCTCTCTCTCTCTCCATTTCCTCTTCCCCTCTATTCTCTTCCTCTCTTTCTCTCTCTTTCTTCTTTCTCTCTTCCCCTCTTCTGTCTTCTCTCTCTCTGTTTTCAGACATAAAGAAAAATAAAAAAATAAAACCGCCCAAAACGACGGCGTTTTGGGCGGTCAGGGGATTCGGGGGAAAGAAATTCGAGCTACGGAGCTTTATTCTAAGATTATATGGCCGTATAAGAATGTCACCAATTAATCCATTAAAGGAATAAAATAAAATAAAATAAAATAAAAGTGAACAGAGGCAATCTATTTCTAAGAAATTATGATTACGGCTAGAAAACTTTTACCAAACACCAAAGCCAAGTCATGATTACGTTACTTGACTTGACAATTTAAAGAGGTAATTCACCATCATACCGAAAAATAGTAGTAACTATAAAAGAAAAAAAAAAAAACTAAAAGCATCGGTCCCAGTCTTTTTTAAATTGTAGTCAAATTATAATTTTAAAAGTCATTTTTATATTTTAATTAGTCACTAATTGCATCAAACTATCCATTCTAACTTAATTCTATTAAAATATTTATTATTATTATATTTTTTTATAAAAAAAAATTGATGAGCTATCAACCAAATAATTCTTATGTTTTACAAAAGGTAAAACTAGAAGAAATGTAAAAAAATAAAATAAAAATGTCGTTGACCGGTCAAACTTCTGGGCGGATGTCTGGTTACACCAAAATCTCGTGTTTTAGTGAT